GCGCTGGCTCCACTGGGCGGCCGTCATGTCGGCCTCCATCCATGCCTCGACCCACGAGCCGCCGCACGCCGGCGATTCGATGGGGCTCAACAGCCCCTTCTCCGACAGCTCCTGAAAGTGGCAATCCCTCAGCTTGCTCACAGGAACGGGGCGGTCGAGCGAAGTGACGAGCGGGTCGTGGACGGCGTGCGCATCGCTCAACCGTGCCAGCTTGGGCTTTGTAACTTGGACGGCCTCAGTCGTGAGGAGCATGACGGGGGCGCGAACCCTTAAGGCCTCTCCATGCTCGCATCGACTGCGGGCGGCCGCCGTTGAGCCTATCGAACAGCTCGTGCACGCGTCCACCCAGCCTCGAATTGCCTCCTTGGCCCTCGCTTCTGCCGGCGGCCGAGCGCCCCACCCCACTCTTGTGGCTGAAGCTTGCGAGCCTTGCTTGTGTGCCTCCCAAAAAGCCTTATTGCGCCTCGCCCGTTTGCGAGGGGGCTCATCCTCCTCAACCGACCCCCCTTCCCTGCCACGATCGCCCCCATTGCTCTCCCGATCGTTGGAGGTTCGTGCGACGGCGGCCTCTCCAAAGAGGCGATCGTGTTGACGTCAGAAGCATGAGTCGCCGGCGCAGGTCGCTTGCTCATGGGGCCGCCGCTCCAGCAAGCCAACAAGATACCGCTCCTCCTCCGACAGCCCGGCATCACCTCCCCCCTGCGCCCGGGAGGTGCCCACGGCGGGACAGACCCCAATCTTTGGCAATTCCCCGTTCCACGCCTCAAGCCAGCTCAACGCCGCCATTGATAGAGGTTCCGAGAGCCTCAAAATCATCTGATCAGCCACGGAAACGCCCCCCTCATCCAACCTCAAAGCCGCCTTAGCTGCCGACACGTGCGAGCAGTCCATGAGGCTCGGGCACCCATCGCGCTTGCCCTCGCAATACCAACCCCCCTTGCTGCTGCAAAACACCATGCGCCTCCGAGGGCCAGGCGGCCCTCCAAGGTTGTCGGCCACAGCAAAAAAGCTCCCCGTCGCGTCCGCTCCAACCTGCTCCACCCTCGCTCCTCTGCCGAGCGACTCTTGGGTAGGCAGCTCCGCCGTCGAGCTCCAGCTTTCGCTGAGGGCCGCAGGTGCCAGCTTAAGCACGCACGGCGCTTCCTCCATCAGCCGTCCCCGGTCGCACGAGCAGCAGAGCTCGCCGAGCGTGTCCCACCAAACAATCTCAGGCAGAGCGTGCACCTTGTCCGGTTTCCCCAACTTCTTTGGTCGGCCCTCTCCGTTGTGATCCCAGGCCGACATGTACAGCCTAAGCGGAGGGGACGCCGACCATGTTGGAAGGAAGACGCGAACCGACTCCTCGAGAGACGTCATCATCACGAGGTAGCGCACCGCCTGCTCCTTGATGCCTAATGCCGCCCCCTGCAGCACAAGGTGGAAGCACCTCGTTCAGAAAGACCTCCTTGCCAATGTGTGGTAGCGTCAAGACAATGGATCCCTTTGAATCAGTATCTCTTGATTCAAACAATTGCGATACCTTGTGGCCACACAATTCAGAGTCATTGTAGAGCAACTTTAACAGAA